TCAATATGGGGTGCTGTGTGTACATTAATGAGGAAAAAAATGAACTTAAATAATTTTAGCATATGGCTGCAATATAACAAAGAGTGAAAAATTTAAGGGGGTCTGAATACTTTCCGTACCCACTGTACTTCTAAAATCCTTGTTTTGGACCTAGTTCAGTCAATATTAATGGGAATGTCTTAGCCATTCAGTTTTATTTAGCCTTCCCAAACTTCTAAATCACAAAAGAACATTGATAAGAAAAAACTCCCATAAAACTTTTATCAAATGTACCTACATAATATAATACCTGCTAGACTATGGCTTCCCCTCATGAAGTGAAGCTTAAACTGCGCTCAACACAAAAATAAACATTAAAAACAACCTACTGAAATAACCCAATATATGATTATTTCACTTTAGTTATGTAAAAAAAAACTACCATTAAGTATGAACAGCCCACAGTGTTTTTAGTTTTATTAATCACTGTATTAAGGTGTGGGAATATGGGATTTGAAGTGATTTTCCTTCTGGCATGTTACACGTTTGACTACCTGATCCATCTGTTCATGAATGTATCAGTCTGACAGCGATTTATTAACGTGTCTTCCCTTAATAACAACACGCACGTCAGTCAAAGTGCCCCCGCATCCACAGCCTTCCTCTGCATCAGCTGCCTCTCCTCCGGCGCATCACTGAGCGTGATACTATTTTTTAGAAAGTGCGCAGGAGATTACGCCCCTGTCATGGCATCATGGTGCAATCCACAACACAACACGAGAACAACACGCAATACAAAGTCAGCACACGGAGAGTTTGATGCACGGAGCATCTAGAAACTGAGTCTGTGTACCGTTTCGTTTCGCTCGCGAAGTGCGCAGCTCCGGTAAAACATCATTATCAGGGAAACAGTGTGAGCGCGTGAGGATGAGTCTGTTTTCAGTCCAGTGGAAACCAGACTGCAGAGCAACACAACTTCTGTCGGCCTGTCAATCATGTCAGGTCTGCTGCGGTACACGTCTGTCCAAAGCGGCTGTTTCGTGTTTTACCTTGACCCGGGCATCTCCACTGTCGAGCCCCGCTTCGGATGTCGCTCTTTGGCCCGGCCAAAATTTTGAGGGTCCCAAGTCTCGCAGTTTAACGTGAGATTTTATACTGGCTCTCATGTAATACGTGTCTCAAAGCTGTAGTGTTACCTGATTATTTTTGGGTACCTTCACTGCTGCCCTGTGTAAATAAGAAGTAACAATAGCACTACTGCAAAGTCTCTATTATGATTAAGAATTAAGCTTTAGAAATATTACCTAATTACGATGAATGATCAAAAGTAAATAATATTCTGCAGCAGTATCGTCTCTGTTATTTTTATTATATAGCCTATGTATCAGAGATATTATCGGACTGTTACTGCTACATTAACAATTAAGAAGCATTTAAATATGGCAGTTGTATAGTTATAAAGTTCTGTAGTTTACAGTTTAGAAAGTAACACACCTCAAAATTGTACCTTAGCCTAATTTGTGTAATTGCCTACTTGGTTACTTTGCAGCATGACTGCTGCCTCTGTGAAATCAAATGAGACATGCAGCCAAACATCAAGCTGTCAAGGTCTTCATATATGATTGAGTCACATCTAAAATATATTTCTATATCTCCATTTCCTTCAAACAAACAACAGCCTAATCATTTTACAGTAACATCAAAACACAGAATTTTTAAAACAGCATTGAGTGCTAGAATTACAGTGATTATCATAACACCGAAACATTGTTAGGCATTAAACAAAAATAAGTATGTTAATGTAGCAAGTGGCGCAGGATTACAACATTTCCCATACAGCTACATAGCTATCTATCTGAGTATTTGTGTTTTATGTCACTATATAAATCCACTGCACTGCATTTTAGAAGGAACCATCTTCTTACATCACTACATTCATCTGAAGCTACAGTTTGTTATTTTTCAGATTAGGATTTTACAAACAAAACCTATTTTCTTCAAAAATACAGTTTGTTAGAATAAATCACACAGCAATTTATAGGGAAGAGTTACTGGAACTAAAATGCTTACACACTCTTTAGTCAGTCAAACTGGGTCATTTTACAATTAATACTGACATTTATTTATTTCCTATTTATTTATTATTCCATAAATGATGTTGGTATACAGCACAAACATATGACATTCAACTAAAAGATTTGACTTGTAATGGATTACTGCTATGATGTGGCCTCACTACTTTTACTTAAAGAAAAGGGTCTGGATACTTCTTGCCCCACTGGTTGTGCAGCTTTTTTAGCACCCAACAAAGTTTCTTCACATTAAATATCACCCTTAATTGCTATAAAGGACACAAGCAGAGGAAAAGCAATATGGCGGCTGGAATCGGTGTGTGCGCCTCCCAGTTAGGAGAGCTAATTACAACATGGCAGTGACAACCACCAGAGTGATGTGCACAGATGTAATTAGGTTACCAGCAGCATGTGGTAGCTGGTGCTAGACTAACTGTGCCATTTGGGATCTTACCAGCTTCTTCTTACTGCATAGCTTTGGGGCAAAGCTGTCACTGAGATGTGAGATGTAAAAAGAGGTGATTTCATAGCATCTGGCAAAATGCAAATCAGATATTTCTCTTTCCAGATGTGATATTTGTGCATGTTGGGCCTTGTTTTTGTGAGGCAACAAAACAGAGTATAATGACTGTGGTGTACTTCTGATGTGTGTGACAGGACAAGAAAAGCTTCATATTGTGTTTCTTTTTGAAGTCCTGGTGTAAAAAATAGAGCAAATTTATGATGGCAGATGAAATGAATCAACATGTCAAAATATATGTATATTAGTAAAGTCAGTACGCTCAAGTGGTTGAAACATTTAATTACCATTTTTAATAAAAGATTGCAAAAGACTCTGAAGAGTTACAATCACTTTCTTCGTTGTCTGTACAGTTTCCAAATGGGTTTTATACTCCTTAAACAGAGGACAGCACTGTTGTGAGATAATGCAAAATGAATACATATGAACTGTACATCTATGCCCGTATAAAGTCCCATACACTCACACATTCCAATAACACTCTTCACAGGCACACCTGGACATCAGTGGTTACTCTATGGCTCACTCGTTGTGTACCATCCTGCTATCACTATCTCATAAGGTACTATAAACATACACTGAATAGTATCACAGCCAGTTTACAGAGAAATAATATGTACATGCTTACATAAAAAACTAAAGACAAAAAGGTGAGAATCATCATGATGCAGAGACATGAGACATCAGATCTTCAGTTTGTTTTATGACTGAAAACAAAAGGATGATTTCCCCCTCAGGTCTTTTTGTGGAGAAACTTCATTTTACTTCCTGAAAAGAGTTAAAAACAAATCCATTAAATCCATTAAAGTGTGCGACATCTTACTGTACAGTGCATGAGGATTAAGCCAGGCTGAGATTACAAAAAAATAGTCGTCATGTCAGTCAGTCCTACTTGTATATGCTGTCAAATGCCTTGAACTGAGATTTCAGGTGAGTACAAGGAAACATTCATCACAAGAAGTAGATGAATGTGAAACTAAAGTCAAATTCTGCACATACATCCAAGTGAAGCAACAATAAGCAAAACACGTCGACTTTGCTATGAAGTGTAGACTGACCTCTATCATGTTGGATAATATGAGCTCAAATATCATTTAAGTGTCACATGTGATCTAATCCTGTAGTATGAGAATATTCAACAGAGCTAGAGAAGAAATATTTTAAATGTATCTTTAAGGTGCAGCAGGATTTTAAAACTGGATAAAATTTTCAAACTCCCAGAATCCGAGACCAGCCTTGTACGTCTGTCGCAGAACTCACCAAGGCCTTTAAGGAATTTGTTGACTCCACTCTGCTCTGTGTCTGGCAACTCCTCCAGATAATGTTCCACCCTCTGCTCAAAGAGACCTGTCAACACATCAGTACGAGAAATTAATATATTTATGAAATATCTCAGGACTCCAGGAAGTCACACTGACTTTTGTCTGCCAGGAAAAACAGCGAGGAGGTGAGAACACATGCTGATGAAAACGTTCTGTCACTAGAGGTCAGTATTAGTGCAGAATGTTCTGCCACACAATGAGTACTAAAAGCACGAGGGTGGAAATCCAGAGAGGAAAGGGTAAGTTTGATCTAAACATTTGAAAAAGAAGGAAGGTGTTTATAGAAACAACTGACATTCAGGGAATGACAGTTTACCTTTAGCCCGGGTTTTCCTCAGCTCCCGATCCTGGATGAACCCTGCAAACATCTGTGACTCCATGAAGACACCCAGGAAGCGACGGATGCTTTTAGATGCCACAGACTTGCGAAAAGACTCCCTTTGAAAAACGCGCTCTCCACGCTCGTTCTGCGTGATAAACAGGGAGTAATGGCCGATGGTCTCAAGGAAGAAGCGGATGAAAGCCTCTGACACCAGGCTGTTCAGTGAGTTATATTCTGTAGACACAATAGAGAAGGGATTGAATACATGGCTTGGCTCAACCCTCACAGCCACCTTAAGCAATAACAGCTACTGCTAATGGTGTAGAGATTCAGGGATGTATCTCATAATTCTTAGTGAAATCAACTTGAATCAAATTAACCACAAAATAAGAAATAATAATGTGGTTTCCTAATTCCATCCCTTTTTTAAAGGTGCAGCATGTAAGATCTAGAAGGGTTTATTAGCAGAAATGGGGTATAGTATCCATAAGTTTTCATTTCATATGTTTTCATCAATGTGTAATCACCAGAAAATAAGAATTACCGAAGTAGTAGCTTAGTTTTGAAAGACCAAAAGAAGTAAAGTTAAAAACAAGAGGAAGTACTGTTGTGAGTTTAAGAACTCCAATTTGAATAAATGGAGGATCATAGTTATTCTTTAACAGAAGAAAAAGGAGGAATCTCCGTCGGCAAAGGAGCAAAGACATGAAAAAACAGGATAATATTAAATGCGGCCAAGTGAGTTGTCAATTGCAAAATCTCGGTGAAGCCAGCTGCCATTCAACTTTTATTGTTACGATAAGGGTGCTTGGAGCTTAACAAATAAAATGATATTACTACACACCTTAATATTTGTGTAATCATCCTTCTTGAAAATTACACTACAGTCAAGTGAGCCGCTGCTAACTTTGGCTTGGTCAAGTCAAGTGCACTTGTTTTTCAAGTATGCAATTTGTCCTGCATTTGCGGTAATCACTGTGAAACGGCTGTGAGAGCTGGTCGGACACCGTGTATAAAAGCTTTGCTCAACGTCACAATCTGCAACCAGATGTCACTAAATCTCACATACTGCACCTTTAACACTTGTAGCATAAACGTCTCACACACTGACATTTCTGATAAAGACTGAAAGAGCCTGAGCTAAAGCTGGAGGGACTCCTAGAAAGAAGAAGAAGTCTGGTTAATCTAAAACATCAAGACGCTCTGTAACTATTACTGAAAAATCTGAAATGCTGAAGACTGGCACAAGTGGGGCCTTAGCAATAAGCACCAAAGGGGACTTCCAGCATCACTGGGGTTTTTAGTCATTTCCTATACTCACTTAATGAATTACAGTATATTGTTGTCAGTGCTTAGTAATGTTTTCTCACATTAGCAATTTTCTACATTAGGTATCAGGACTAGTTCACAGACTTCATACACTGTCTAAAAGACTAAGAGGCATGTTCAGAGTAAGAGTAATTAATTAAGAGTAATTGGTGAGTATGGTAGTAACTATATAAAGTCAAGCTTAATCTATCTTTTTATCTAACAGACTGTAAGTTGCACCAGTTTGCACAGTAATAACAACAGGTTGTGACTGACACACAGCAGATGTAACACAACCGCTGACAACAAGAAAAAGAATGTGGAAAGCAGAGACAGAAAGTCTGTCCCATACAAGCTTTCTTCCTGAATGAAGCAACAACAGTGCACGTCTTTCAAATAGTAAGATACATTTTTGTTTAGTTTTGTTGCCTGACCAATTCTACCATTTGTGTGTGTGTTGTAAAAGCACACTGTAGCTGTTGTTTTAATTTGTGCTATACAAATAAACATATTATTGATCCCCTGGGGGTAAATCTTCATAAAAGTTTGGCTCTCACAGCGGGAGATGAATCCAGGCTGACTGGAATCCTAACTGTTAAACCATGTGGGATGTGCATGCACGGAACAGACAGATGAGGGAACTTTGTGAAACACACCTGTACCCAACTTATTTAAATCAGATTGTTGCTGACTTCTTCTCACATAACTTGTGGTTCTTTTAACCCCCTAACTCAGCATATAGGACCCTCAGTAGAACACATAAGAATATGTGTATTTTGCCACCAGTCAGCAGAACCCCTACCTTTCACTGTGTATTATCTCACCTCTAAGGTGAACCTGTGTGGTTCACCGTCTATATAAAAGACATCATTTCCACACGAGCTTCACAGAGACACGGAGCCCGTGTGTTCTGCTACAGACAGTGCTCTCATTACAAAGGAAAACATCTGTGTTGGTCATGAGAGATGATTTGTCATACAGTATATTCACCTTCATCTGACTCGCTGTCAGAGTCCTGATTGATGATGTCATTCCTCTGCTCCAGCGCTTGCTCAAGAGCTGCTTGAAGTTTTCGCGGCAACAGTGAAGCCTCGTCATCCATCTATAAACAACAGAAAACACTGTAGTCACCAGTGATAAACAACAGTGTTTGGAGAGTAAGTTTCAAAGACTCTGACTTAGAACAAAAAAGCTCATGTTTTACAGCCTCTTCAACGTAAGACTATGTAACTTTGACAGTAGAAAAAAGCACAGTCTTACCCTTACAACTGAAAAGTTAATTTCAGAAGCAATAAATCTCACCCTCACACAGACTCAGGTCTTTTGCTGCTTCAGTCTTACTTGGTCTGGTATGACCAGTAACACATTATGGCGATGCTTGCCAGCTTTAGATACTGTAGATACTGCAGTGGAGTAACACATTGCTGTTCGCTGACTTACATGTCACAGGTTTTAGTGCTATTTCATAAAAAGAAAAGGAGAAATAAATACATCACATCTCACCAGCAGACATATGTGTTTTTTTCCGCTTGTGGCTCCATTACATTCCTGCATTTTTGTCTTTTGCAACTGCGGTTACATGGTTGGTGTCTTAAAGCCATAGGCTGCCAGCATAATCGTTGATCTTTTTAAAGCATGTTACTCAAGAAAATCTTTGGAAATAAAGGGAAATTGGAAATGATCGTTCAATTGCCAATTGCGACCTTCATGCCCACTGCTCATCAAAAGTTACATAGTCTCACTTCTTTGTTTGATAGGTTCATAGACTAACCTGTCGGATGAATCGGTCAGTTCCGAGGTCAACCATTAAAGCCTAAGAAAAGGAAAGAGAAGCATATCATTCTGCAGAACTAATGAAAAAAACCCCTCTTTTATTTCTTACACACAAAACTGACTATTTCACCTCCAGGGGAATTGCATGTGCTCTCTGCAAAACACAGTCTATATAAAATACAGAACCACCATTTTCAAAGAACTTACAGCACAAAATATAAAATGTGACAAAAGGAAGAGTGATACAAACAGACAACAGATGTTGCTGACAACCAGTTAACAGCTCAGTGTTAAGTATGACTGACATGGTCTTATCACACAAATGACCTCTCACTTTGAGAGGCATATGAATCTGTATTCAATGTCGATAATAATTTCCATGAACAATCCAGGTGCTCACTTGTCTAGATTAAGGACAAAGCTTCACTGGGCTTCTACTGTTATCACAACTCGCCAGAACCCATAGTGACTTTTTAAAATGTCTTGTATTGGTTTGTATTCAACAGTATAATACCCAAAGATATTCACATTATTGTCATAGAAGAGTATGAAAACCAGAAAATATTCACATTGAGAAGGTGGAGCAGGTAAACCTTTTTTGCCATGATTGTAAAAAAATGTTTTCATGCAATATTTTCAAAAGATTTGGGGGATTTTTAGCTGTTATTTAACAACGCAGTAGAGACAGACAAGACAGTGGGATGAGAGAGAGAATGGGGAGATCTACACTTTACTGTAGGTACACAACCAGACTCCAATCACAGATATAGAACACACTAATATGCACCCACATACTGTAAAGGCACCAGGCTAATAAATAAATAAATAAAGACTGCCCATTAATTTTCTGCTGCTTTTCAAAAATCAACTAATTGTTATGGCTCATTCAAAGCAGCAAAACCTTTTAATCTTATAACTTTGGACAAACCGAACAATATATTAAAAATATTAAATCTGCGCTGCAAAAGGAAAAAAAAAAAAATCAATGCAACTTTATGTTGTTCTGGTCTGAAAGTCAGTTCAGTCAGAGAAAGACAAGAACAGAGCGACAGAGAAAGACCAATCAGAGATATCTGGATGAAGAATGTAGGAGACATCAGTCTAAGCTGTAGAGTTCAGAGAAATGAAACTGCACTCAGAGGAAAGCAGTCAGAGACGGTCCTTTTCACATGTACTCACCTCTTCCACAGGTAACTCTTTAAGTTTTGGCAGTGAGCTGGACAGCAGCCCCACCAGGAAGGGAGTGGGACAGCAGACAATATCCAGCATGGACCCTGGCAGCACAGGGATGAAGGTATGTTGCCAGGAGAAGGGGTACAGCAGCGCCACCACTGCAAGCATGCAGCTGGACAGGGTACTGATGATGGGAGGCAAAAAAAACAACAACAAAAAAACAAGCACACGCCATTAATATCCTTCACACTTGCACAACAAGCACAAAAACTCCCTAGAAAGGCCACACCATGGTCAAAACAGGGCAGATAATGAAAACCTTTTTCTGAAAGGGGAGTGGGTGGGTTGTGCAGTAAAACATTTTCCAAAAATTTGCATCTAAGGCAGTCCTTAACTTAAAAAAAAAAAGTCTGCTTCTTCAAAATGTTGAATTCATTATCAATAAATCATTAATTGGGCTACAGAAAGAACTGTAAGAGCACAAATTGTCTTTCCATAGCTAAGCTCATTCTACAAAGTAAATGACTATGTGATCCTCTTTTCCCTGAAACAGTTACTTTTACATAATAACAGCTGTGTACTCTGGCTTTGACACTTGGTTCTTCCTGCAGCTCTGGATACAACAGACAGTTCCTAAACTTTGACAAATACAAGAAAAATGACTTTAAAAGGCATCACAGTATAACGTCTGTACAAATGAATGCTTTTATATCCCCTCTACCTCACAACTACAAACCACAAAAATGAAGAATGAGCCCAGTAAAATGCACGACTCTGGCACGTTGCTGTAGCTGAGCTGGATGTTTGTTGATGAAATACCAAAAAGAGCACCGATTCGGTTTAACTTCAACAGCTGTGGTATAACATCGAGATCACATATAGGAGCCCGTCTTTCTCACGATCTGTCGCTTGTTGACAGTGGCTGACCCTCCTCCCCTGTGTCCTCTACATGCTGTCCAGTCCATGTACACAAAGAGAGTGAAAATAAACTGTGGCTCCAATCACACACAAAGCAGCACTAAATCAGTTTGGCTCAAGAACAAGACCAGGGATCAAACGTGGCATGCAAACGCTCCCCATATATACACTATTAATGAGGAATGTTTTCGCTGTCACTGTCAACAACAGCAGATAGAACATCCAAGTAAACAGAAGTTACTCCCTTTTATGTGACCTCATCCACCTCAGAGAAATACTATTAATCACAGCCCACTGAGAACTGAGATCAGTACTGTAATTAGTGAGCTAAGATAAATTACAAACTTTTCCACAGTATTCTTGCAAACTACATTTTTGCCATAAGCTTTTTCATCTTAACTTCATATGAGTCAAATTGCCTAAAATGAAATGTGTTTTCTTGATGAGGTAAAATATTATTAAACCAGTAAAAACATGATAGAAACTACAAATAACCACAGCATTCAGTATTTTCAGTATTTTTTCTGTTCACTCATAACATGAAGCACTTGCAGCTTTGCTTTGGTCGGCATGATTTCCATTTGCCTGAGGAGGGCTTGATAATTCCTAACAGATCCAGTCTCCTGGGTTTGACAAGTTCTAACAGGGAGTGATGGGGCACAGATCTTAGAGAACGTTTGCCACGGGCTACACATGGCCCTACACACCACTGATACCAAAAGGCTCAGTTACACTCATTCCCCAACCGCACACTCTCGGGAGAAGATGAACTTGCAATGAAAACACTCTGCACCACCAGAGG